CCGAGGTCGCCGACCTTGCTCAGCACGCCCAGCTCGGCCATCGAGAGGTCGCTGCCGTCGACGCCGACGATTAAGTCGATGTTGCGCGACGCCTGCTCGGACTGGAGCTTGGCGCGGTCCAGCGCGTCGCGGATGGCCTTCAACGCCGCGTCGAGCGTGACCGACGAAATCCCGTCGGCCTTGGCCGCCGCCGTCGCCTCGGCATCCCGCAGCTCCTCCGCGAGGGCCGCCTTCTCCTTCTCGAGGGCCGCGGTCTTGGCCTCCGCCCGGGCCACCTGCTCCTGCATCAGCTCCATGGCCGGGTTCTCCGTCTCGAGCCGCCGCTTCGGCGGCCGGCCGCGCGGCGCGCGCGCCGTGTCGCCGCTGTCGGGCGCCGACTCGACGACGGGCTCGCGGTCCGACGCCATGTTCAGCGCCGCGAGCATGTTCGCGACGACGAAGGGGTCGCGGAGGAGCTCGGTGACCTGCCCGTTGAACGCGTTGAAGCGCGGCCGGCCGACGCCCCTCGGGTTCCATCTCCGCGCCGTCGACAACTGCGTGCTCCCCTGCTGGTCCAGGAAGTTAAAGAGCGCGTAGGCGACGGCGGCAGCGCGGCCTCGTCGATGACGTGCTGCGTGTTGCCCGTGAGGATGTCGCGGAGCCGCATGGCCTGCACGACGGGGAGAAGATCGGAGATCTTCGCCGCGCGTCGCGCCGAGGCCACGCCGACTCCGACGGCCGACATGCGAGGGCACGGGCGTGACGAAAGAGCCCCCGAAAAACAGTAGGACACGGGGATGGACTTGGGAAAGGGAGTCTCCAGAAGCCGCGCCGTGAGGTGTTCATCAACTCCGCGCCGCTGCCGCGTCTTCCCCAACGCCGGGGCCGAGGACGAAACAGCAGCGCGGACGCGTAGGAGGCCGGAAACGAAGAGCTCCGCGTCGCACGGCGTGCGGACGGCCCGGCCGTAGAAGGCCTCGGGCATCGGCCGCGGCCGCGGCGCCGGCGCCGGCGCCGAGACCGTCGGCGGCGGCCGCGCGGACGCCGGGGCCGTCGCCGACGCAGACGTATCGAGCCGGGGCCGTTGGCGGCCCAAAGCGTTCCACAGCCCTTCGAAAAAGCCGCGGGGCCGCTTCACGGCCGCGGTCGAGGCCTCGGGGAGCGCCTCAGGCGCCGCGGGCCGCTCGCGCGGACCGCGCGCGGGCGGCGACGAGTTCTCCTTGTCCGCCGCCGAGCTCAGCCTCCGTGGCGCGCTCGCCGACGGCGATCGGCCCCGGGACCGGGACCGAGCCCGCGACCCCGACCACGACCGGCGGATCGCGCCGCCGCCCGACGCGAACTTCCGCGCGGAGCCCCGCTCGTTCCCCGCCGGCGTGCCGCCGCCGATCGAGCTCCGCGGCGGCGTGCCCGGCGCGGCGACGACGCGCGGCGCGCCGAGGAGCCCGTTGACGTCCAGGAGGGCCGCGCCGCCGCCCGAGGGCTCCGCCGAATCCCGCCCGGCGGGTGTTCCGCGCGGAGCCGCTGCACCTAGGCGAACACGGTCATGAGCAAACGGTCCCAGCCCCGACAAGGGCTTTCCCCGCGCCCCGTGAAGCGGTCCCCGCCCCTCTACTACCCCCCTGAACCCCCGAGTTCGACGATTTCCCCGAGAGCGCGCGCCTCGCACGATTTCTTTCCAAACCCAAACTTCCAATGATTTCCAATGGTCGCGGCCCGGCGCCCCCGGGGGCGACCGTCCATGCGCGGCCCCGAGCCGAGTTTCGCGTCCGGGAAACACCGGGAAACCGGTTCGCGGGCCGCGCCCAGCCCGACCGAAGCGCCGGAAGCGAAAAACCGTCGGCCCGCAATCTTTATTCGCTAAGGACGCGTTAGTCTATCGTCTAGGGCGGCTTAGACGATGGTGGGCGTTTAGCGTGGAATCGCTGCCCGAGGACCTCCGGTGGGCTTCGTGACCCACCCGCTGTGCTAGCTCGGCCCGCCCGGGGCGTTCGGGGCCCCGCGGGCTGCGGAAGGGCGCCCCGTGCCGGGCGTGACGCCATGCCACAAGGCGCTTCTCGCGCGGCCGCTGCTTGCGATGATGTCGGGCCGGATGAGCTGCGCGCGATGGAGGGTGAGTTGCACAGGTTCTTGCACAAGCTTACCGACGGTAACCCGGCGCATGCGGTGAACATAATGACCACCGCGTTGCGTTACATTCCTCANAGTAATTTCGAGGTGCGGCCGACTCCATTCGGTTCTTACGGTGGCTCCCTTGACTTTGTTGGTGCTCCCTATGGTCTGGAGCCTGGTGC